AATATTCATCCACTTGGTACATCTCCTTCATCTTCAATTCAAGTGTGTGTTTTATGTTTGCATGTGTGAGGCATGAGAGTTGCATTGCCACTTGGTATTTACAATACAGCCATGTCTGTGTGTTTATATGTGATTATGAATCTTTTTATGTGTATGAGATATGTTCAAAGCACGAGAGTGTGTTTGTGTCTGAGTGTTTGTGTTTGTGAGTGGGTAGTGTTTGCTTCTGTTATCAATCCGGGCCAGACGACAGAAGCTCTTTAGTGGAGAGTTAGTTCAGTTTAGCATGAAGATGAGGTTTGCTGGTTCGCGGGTGCCAGCTTTACTTTGCCGAGTGTATTCCTGCGTGTATGTGTCAATGAGTGTGTGTGTATGTGGGGTATTTGTGTACGTGTGTGTGTGTGTGGTCTTTGATGTCAGCTGGTGGCTGCTACTGTTTGCAGATGTGAGTGTTAGGTAATCACAAAACACAATCACTCTGATCTATTCCTGAACCTCTGCCATTATATATAGCATTCTCCTCATCCACCCACAACCTCTCTCCATTTCTCTCTTTCTCACATAAACACACATATACACACATTTTCTTTTTTTTCCTTCTATTTTCCATCTCTCCTCTGCCTCTGCCACTCCTCATCTCTGTCCTCCATCTCCTACTCCCACACTCACTCTATCTCTGTGTTTTGTTATATATTACTGCTCTCTGTTGTTTGTCTCTGCTCTCTGGACATTTTTCTTGTCATCTCTCTTTTTTCCCCCGTTCCTTCACCCGCTGCCCCCGAGCCCCGCACTCCCCATCACTAACACTTCCCTCCTCCCCAGCCGTCTGCCCCTCTCCTCCCTCTTCCCCCTCCAACATCCCTCCTTCACCCTTGCTGTCCTCCTCCTCTCCTCCCTTTTCGCCTTCCATCACATGTGCGCACGCTGTCGGAGGGGGAGTATTGATTGCATGCTTGGCTGACAGGCACAGTAATGGACGACTAGGAGTGTGTGTGTGTGTGTGTGTGTGTGTGTGTGTGTGGTGGTGGTGGGGGGGTCAAGCTGGCCACTGGGTGGGGTGTTTGTGTGTGTGTTTGAGTATGTGTGTGTACTTGGGGGGGAGTATTCTGGCGCCAGTCCAACAGCTTATCAACCGGGGCATGTTGGACTCAGCATCTCGTTCTTTCCCTCCCTCCTTGTCTTGCTTTTTCCTTTCATCTTACTAAACTCTCATCTTT